ATTTTCATGAACTGTATGTTTAATAAGCAATACCTTTGGAACAACACACAAAGTATTTTTAAACTCATTGCCACAATTAATAATGTTCTACCATCGAAATAAAGTCTTAATTTAACTGATTAAAATGAGATACGGTACGACGGACTCTGCGTTACCATATGCCGTTGTCTTTGTAAATGATTTTCAAATCCCGATTCCGTTGTCTTTGACTATATCGAAGACGCTATATTGTGGCAATCAAAGACCCAGTTTGATCGGAATTGGGATTTCCATCATAATAATAGCTTAATACATGCACAGAATTAGCGACGATAAAGTCCAATGAAATGATAAACCGAAGTGATTGAAGAGTTGAAGCAACGGTTATGTCCGCTATTTGTGACAACGGTATCTGACTTTACCGTTGTCAGACTATTCATGTCCCGATTCATGTGCGCTATTGGAATGTCTCATGGTTGCCAGAATGAAGGAATGAAAAATTAGTACCCTTTGCATTCGTTCAACTTCACTCCTTAAAATAGAGCTTCGTCTTCAGTATATAACTAGACTATGCGCGCAGGGTAAAAAATTACGTGTTTGTACTTTAAAACGAATACAACAGAGTGGCGATTTTATGGCCATTGCATCCTCTTAAAAATCATACAAAAGACAATGCGCTAAGATATAGCTTCAGTCTTTTTTCCGGCATTATTTTAGTTTGAGAACTGTTACATTAAACATAATGTGTTACACTATTACTTATAAAAAAAGATGTCAAAGCGGCACATGAATTACATATAGGCATGCGATCACTTCGCTTAAGCTCATAAATAAAAAGAATCGAAATACCCTTCTTCCCTCTGACCAAGGATGAAACTAAGCAGTTAAAGGTAATTAAAAGTAACGGTTAAAACACAATTTACGACAGGGGCATTTTCCAGAGTACGTTAGATCTACCGTTTTCTACCAACGATAAAAAGTATTTCTGAAAATACGTGTATATCAAGGGAAGATCTCCATATAATCATGAAATCATTTATGTCAATCATTAATGTCATATGATATGATTATAAACATATTCGATTTAAAGTAAAACACTATATGTTCTGCATCAAGAGCATGATGTTCAAATCTTAGCATTTAATGTTTCATCGGATTGTTAATACTTTGGAGATATGAGTGCAAGCTACCCTCATTTCTAAAACCCAGTGAAAAGCAGCTCAGTTGCAAAGACGCAAACAGTAGCAGAATTGTAACCAAAATGCGATGGGTAGTTGAAAGTTACCATGGAAGGCTGAAGAAATGGAAGATGTTGGATGATGTACTGAATTGTAAGCATGTGAGAAAACTCGAAAGATTGGTCAAGATTGTGTCTGCAACTCTATATGCGTTTCGTGGTACGATTGTTAACAGTGTGCCTGAGGATGTTAATGTAGCAAGGGCAATGTTGTTGAGGAAGCAAGAAAGTGTGAATGAGTTGTATGAGCGTGTCAAGGATATGCCTCCTCGGAAAGAGTGGACCAAAATAGATGCGTCGGATGCAGTGCTCGACTTCCCCAGACTCACTGAAGAGTATCTCAGTACTTGTATTTATTGCATCAATATTCGTAACATTAATATCTTCGGTTTTTACCCCACGGAGTAAGTTAAACCGAACATAAACAAAACCAGTTACAACAAATGGTACCTACTATCCCACATATAATTGACTGTCTTACACAACAAATATGTAAGATGCTTCAAAAGCGTATTCGACCCGATGAAATATTAATTTGATAAGTATTTTAAATATGTGCGATGCCAAGTACCATTCGTATTGGGTAAATATATTCATTTGTGCTAAACATATTCATTTGTGGGGTAAGTCACGTGACTTACCAAATGATTTTATATAAACCGCCATTGTTCACTGATTTGATGTGGGGTAAGTCACGTGACTTCGACCATGTGACTTGCGCCATCTATATATTCAAAGAGCTCTGGTGTGATTCTCCAATCAAAAAACGTATCTTCTATTAAGAAAGGATCGCTAAGTTATGTAGCCTCATGCCTGTTGTAATGATCTAATAACTTCTCAATTTCCTCTCTGAATTGTGAATATGAATCGTATTCAAATTCTTTTTCCTCGCTAGTTTCATCCATTTTGAAATTTCTACGTCACTGGTCACGTGATTTACCGAATGGTTTTATGCTACATGCAGCATGTGTCATTTATGTGGGGTAAGTCACGTGACTTACCCCACATCATTTTATTCGAAACATGTCATTAATTATGTGGGGTAAGTCACTATATGTCCGTGCTATTTTCTACTCTATGCTTGTTCGGTAAATGAACATTGTTTGGTTCTAAAGTGTATTTGTATTTGATGCGTGTTCTAAATATATGTGTCAACTGTCTTTGTTCGTGTGTTTACATGGACTTAAATATGTGATATTTTACCAAACACTGAATAACATAAACCGCATATACAAGTGCATTTACCGCATATATAGGTACATAAATCAAATATAAATGTGCAAAAACAAACAAATTTATTACGTGTTTCGAATCATTTTAATAGAGTGGAATATCGAATGGTTGTAATCAAATGCAAAAGTGTGAAAATCGAATAAAGATGCAGAAAAAATTCCATATCTCAGAGGTATCACATTCGGGGTGTACCAATTAAAACAGGCTCCCGTATACACTGAGCAACACTTCACTGAGGATGGGGCATACGAGCTTAGTGTGCATTCTGATGCTGATGACCTGATCCGTATTAAGATCCACTACAGGTTCATTGGTGCTACTAAGTACCAATTGTGGATACAGTATGAGAATGGTGTGGATCCAATTAAAGCCTGGAACTGTCAGTGCAAGACTGGCCAACGTACTGTTGGTTGCTGTGCCCATGTGGCATCTGTGCTTTGGTACTTGGGAATTGCAAGACACCATACTATGTTGTTGCGCAAGACCAAGGCTCCCAAAATCATGGATGCTGCAACAGCAAACAGAATTATTCCTGCTACTGACAGTGAACTGAGTGACAGTGAAAATGAATAAATATGAAAGTGTAAACAACTAGAATGGGTGAAAATCTTTCGAACGGAACATGATGAATGTATAGATGTTGATCAGGATGATTGTGAAACAGTGTAAATGGACGAATGTAAGACTGGATGAATTGGCATAATGAATTGTGACATAATGAATTGTTATTGTGAGTATCTTGGTAAATGCGACGTTTTTTGAGGAAAAATTTAGAACATTTCTTTCATTTGGATCGTGACTGAACCAAATTCCCAAGGCATTCCCAAGTTTTTGTTAAGTTTGGTTTTAGCCCTGTTTGTGAAAAGGACCGTAAACAATTTAGTGCGCTTTCGGACGAGCCTATAGAATCTAGGATGAGAGTAGTGATCTGCGAACATACAGGGCGTTCAATAAGTACTGATAAAAATGCTATAACTTTTTTATTTTTCATATTTCTGACTAACGTTTCTCCTGTACATTGTTGAGTATTATACTGATGTACTGTGAGAGTTACAAGAATGTACCCTAACAGAAAGGTGGTACTGAGTTGAGCCTAAGGTGGCTTGTGGTGGTTCAGGTCTGTACGAAAAAAATTCAAAATAACAGAGTTAAAATGTGAACATTTTCATATACAACTTTATTTTTGAACCCATTTTGACAATTGGTAAATAAAAAGTGGTACTAAGATACCTTGACAACACCTACTGATGAAGTCAACGAGCAAAATGTAAGGTGTATACCCGGGGGTGTATATGACATCAATGAGCAAGTCATTAGAATACATTTACATGTACACCACAGAGCAATTTTAAATCAGATAACATCATAGAGAAATTACATCACACGAACTGAGCAAAAATGATGTCATCAACAGCATGGCTGCTGAACAGAATATCAATAATATTCAGAATCAAATTAGAAGCAGCATCAAGTTCTACAGTATTTATACTCTAGTTACACTAGGTAAATCAAAAGAGAATACAATAAAGGACATTCATGAAGCTTATAGGGAGGACACTATATCTACGTACCCACGTATGCGTGTCAACGCATATCGTTGGTAATGGTTCCGCTATTTCAGAGGGAGAAAGTCATTTAAAGTTGAACCCAGACAGGGGTGACCAAAAGCTGTAACTTCCCCTAGTCAGATTGAGTCAATAAAAGAAATATTGGATTAATTCCTATCAGAAAAATTGCAGACAGGACTGATTCAAGTGTTGGTCGCACACAGCATGTTATATTCATATTGATTTAGAAATGACATTGATGTGTGACGTTTATGAGCAAGCAATTGACTAACGGGCAAAATTAAACGAGTTGGTCATTTTGAAACTTTTTTGTGCAGACCTGATCCACCACTAACCATCTTTGGCTCAACCCAGCACCACCTTCCTGTAAGAGTACATTCCTGTTACTTTCACAGGCACCAGTACATAATAATAATATACATTTAATAATGCTCAACAATGCACACTTGAAATATTAGTCAGATATATGAAAAAAGCATTTTTATCAGTACTTATTGAACGCCCTGTAGATATTTTATCTCGGTGTCATTAGCATGTATACCTTAATGTTGTTATTTTGTCGAATTGATATTGCTAGAAGTTCAGTAGCCTCGCCCAAGTCGGTCTCTTTTACTAATCTTGATTTCTATTATGACCACCGGTAATAATTCAAGATCAGATTAGTAAAAAATACCGACTTGGGCAAGGCTAGAAGTTCAGCAACAGTGATAAGTTGGTAATATCAATTAGTCAATTTGATACCTAAATTACCTAAATTGCCTAATTTATGTGAGGGGAGCAGATTTTGAGCCCTAGAAATTATCTTCACTGGTGATCCACTCGATTACGCTGGTTACCGAAACGGTTCGTTTTGGTAACAAAATGTCGTAACATCGAATATACGATTTTTCTTTTTCCTTATTTCACATGTAGGCAGAATTTCCACGAAATTTTAATTACAAACGTGTATCAGTATCATATGTTTAAGAAAATGTACATATTTGCGAACGAATAGTTCAGAAGACAATAGAATCGTCGATTTATTTCCTCACTTAAGTTACAGAAACGGTTTTTCGAAAAACAGTTAAGATCTGCACTTTTAACCCAAACCGTTTATGTTTCCTCATGGAATATTGTTTCCGACCTAATTTACTTATATTCAGTAAAGTATCTATACCATAAGCAAATTGTTGAATTATCCATTTCGAAGATGGCGTCACCACGAAAAACGGATAAGGTGATTGAAATACAAGATGGGACGATTAAGGCACGTGATGGGACGATTGAGCGCGGGGTGGGACGATTGAGGTATGGGGTGGGAGGAATGAGGTGCAAGTTGGGACGAATGAGGCGCGGGATGGGACGATTGAAGCGCAGGGTGGGACGATTTAGGTATGGGGTGGGAGGAATGAGTTGCAAATTGGGACGATTGAGGTACAGGGTGGGAGGAATGAGGTGCAAATTGGGACGATTGAGGCACGGGATGGGACGATTGAGGCGCAGGGTGGGACGATTGAGGTATGGGGTGGGAGGAATGAGGTGCAAGTTTGGACGATTGAGGCGCAGTGTGGAACGATTGAGGTATGGGGTAGGAGGAATGAGGTGCAAGTTGAAACGATTGGGGCACGAGATGGGACGATTGAGCGCGGGGTGGGACAATTGAGGTATGAGGTGGGAGGAATGAGGTGCAAGTTGGGACGAATGGGACGCGGGATGGGACGATTGAAGTGCAGGGTGGGACGATTGAGGTATTGGGTGGGAGGAATGAGGTGCAAGTTGGGACGATTGAGGCACGGGGACGATTGAGGAACGGGCTAGGACGATTGAGGTATGGGGTGGGAGGAATGAGGTGCAAGTTGGGACGATTGAGGTATAGGGTGGGAGGAATGAGGTGCAAATTGGGACGATTGAGGCACGGGATGGGACGATTGAGGCGTAGGGTGGGACGATTAAGGTATGGGGTGGGATAAATGAGGTGCAAGTTGGGACGATTGAGGCACGGGATCGGAAGATTGAGCACGGGGTGGGACAATTGAGGTATGGGGTGGGAGGAAAGAGGTGCAAGATGGGACGAATGGGACGCGGGGTGGGACGATTGAGGCGCAGGATGGGACGATTGAGGTATGGGATGGGAGGAATGAGGTGCAAGTTGGGACGATTGAGGCGCAGGGTGGGGCGATTGAGGCGCAGGGTGGGACGATTGAGGTTTGGGGTAGGAGGAATGAGGTGCAAGTTGAAACGATTTGGGCATGGAATGGGACGAAGGAGCGCGGGGTGGGACGATTGAAGTATGGAGTGGGAGGAATGAGGTGCAAGTTTGGCCGAATGGGACACGGGATGGGACGACTGAAGCGCAGGGTGGGGCGATTTAGGTATGGGATGGGAGGAATGAGGTGCAAGTTGGGACGATTGAGGCACGGGGGCGATTGAGGAACGGGCTAGGACGATTGAGGTATGGAGTGGGAGGAATGAAGTCCAAATTGGGACGATTGAGGTATAGGGTGGGAGAAATGAGGTACAAATTGGGACGATTGAGGCACGGGATGGGACGATTGAGGCGCAGGGTAAGACGATTGAGGTATGGGGTGGGAGGAATGAGGTGCAAGTTGGGACGATTGAGGTGCAGGGTGGGACGATTGAGAAACGGGGTTGGGCGGAATGGGCGATATCTCTTCGCTTGGCTTAGATGCAACTGTTATGACAGAAACATCATGAACAGGTGCATTTTCCAATAGATTCACACTGGGTACCATCTCCCCGCTTCGTGGGATACTGCCAGATGTACTTGAAGCAATTCTGCGATTTCTCTTATCACCGGAACAGGCACCATGTCTAATTCTTTTGAATAATAGTAAATAGGCCCGCTTGAATCGTCTGTTCAAAAGTCCATAGAAGATCCAGTTAATCGACGAAGACATCCAAAGAACTAACACCCCCGAAAGATAAAGCCACTCACTTAGCTTACGCTGCTTATCGACGATAGCCATAAGTGGTAGACTAAGGTATGATACACTGTACAGTAACATTATCACAACCATCGTCTTCATTAATCTGAAATCCCGTTTTCTCTCGTTAAGCATGCTTCTATGTGTTCGTACTGCTACAGGACCATTTGTTGCAGTATGAACTGAGATAGCGTTTTGGGACTTTCTGCTTATTATGATAATGCGAACATAGAAAAACCAGAGTGCTAAATTCAGAAGCAATAAAAAAGTAAGCGTCGAAGCCAGTGCCTTCGTTTTAGTGTCAGGTCCATCAGTGAGTTTTTCGCAGAACATTATTTTTGTGTCATAATCAATATTTACTTCAAATATGTAAGTGAGCTGAAAGTTTGTATCCATCAACGTAATCGCGATTGGGATTGCGTACAGTGCTACAAGACAACACGCCATTACCCTCTTCCTGGTAAAAATAGGGGCTTTGTTGGGATGCACGATCTTCAGGTAACGATAGAACGCATTGGCGAAAACATGCAGCGAACTACACGTTATGAGAATGTTTATCTCCGTCTTGGTGTAGATACACGCCGGTCCTCCTAGCGTCCAGCGTCTCTTTACGAACACAGACAAATGAAGGCTGTAATTTGTGGTCAGAATAAGAAAGTCACAAAACACTAGACTGCAGATAAATGTATTTTCTGCCTTCCTCAGTGATTTGATGATAAGAATCGACAAAATTGTGACGAGGTTCCCGAATATCCCGACACTCAACATAGCGCCACCAACGAGAATTCCAACCACACCAATAGCGAGAGTGACATCATCCCGGTAGAACCTTACTGTGCCCTCGTCCGAGGTAGTTACATTCGAGAGGTTCATCTGTGTTCCCCAGTTGTCGAATCCTACACGAGCTGGTTTTCAACGAGTCATTCGCTCTGTTATTCAAAGAGAAATGTGATAATGAAAACAATGACGAAATGATAGATGAAATCTAATCTGATCTAGGCGTACTTCATGATGCATGTAGGCCTAGTGATTATATATAATTTCAATTCAGACAGCTATGTCCAAATGCATTTTTTGTTGTCACGAATTCTGCGTTTATCAAAAGGGTACTTCTTAAAGACACAGTACCATTAGTATTGGTTCACACTACCAAAACTGAGTTCGAGGAAAAGACAAATGAATTCTTTTTTACTGAAGCTCATCTGCCAAGAATTTTTGTAATACCGTACGAACATCCATATTGAGTAATACAGAAAATGGGAAGGAGTAAGCTTATCCAGATGACAAAAACCTGATAATGTCCAATTCATGAACCACTATGATTGATTTCGTATATTGTGGTTATAAACAATGCGTAGTGGCTATATCTTTTTGATTAGCATGAATACTATCTTCAAAACAGATCAGCATTTTGAGCCAACAACATAAACCTAAACCTACTTACCGTTTTCAAAAAAGTACTTACTGTGATTTTTGTTGATGTTAATGGATCACCATCCATTTCGATGCAATTTTATTTGTCCTTTCCAAGAGTGTCAATGCCATTTGCTTAATGCGAAGGTCGCTGAACTTAATGAATATTTAAGTGTATACGCGTAACAAGTTCATGCTTATGACGCGGTTGCGCAATGCGCAAATTGATCTTAGCTAGCTATTAGATGCCTTTAAAACTAGCATTACTCTTACTTAACTGCATTTATACGTGGAACCAATTTACCGTTTGTTTATGTTTTGAATTAAAATTGTCTTCTTTTTATCTATTTCTTGTCAAGAAATTTCCGGGGATGAACCCACGTACCCCCAGTGATGCAAACCCAAAAATACCACCATTGGACAATTGCTGGCTACGCCCCTATAGTACGTATTCTCCAAGATAGCGTGGTGTTTCAAAACATAAATTCCATGATGTATTTGTCAGGGCTTTCCTGATTCTTTGAAAAAGAAGCTGACCAGTTAATCTTGATGAGTCTCCTGATGTATCTGCTCAATCACCGGACACTTTGTTTTAATACTATTAGTGTGGTTTTCGTAGATCTATGTTCTTTTATGGCTTTGGTAATAGAGTTGCTAAATATGATCCTGGATGTAGATTCGGGTGAAGATCTTCTTTTGCAAATGTGTTATAGAGTTGGAAGTGACAAATGCTCAATCTTGATGCATTTCACTTGGACATTCACGCCTAACCATCGACAACGTACAGTGGCAAAATATACGGATGTACACTTTAGATGTACGTTGTCGTTTCCGCCATTTTGGACCGCCATTTTTTCAAATGATGAAGCGAGGTTACAAATAGCTATGTTATATCATTATTGAGTCATTTGGCATGCTTTTTGTTTTTAAGTTACGAATATGCATATCCTCTTCAATATTGATCTTCAACAACTCCATTATCTTCGTATAGCTCTACCCAACCCGTCGGTGGTCTCCAGAATTTGACTTAATTCCGCAAAAACCTCTCTATCTTTTGTTTTCATTTTCAAACATTTTGGATGTTACAACAAAATAGCTTTTGTACGTTGTCAACTTGTTTGTACGTTGGCACTGACATCTAAAAGAAAAAATGTTTCATGAAATAAACTTTTTATAGTTTCCCCTAGCTCGTATGTTAGTTTCAATAGTGTTAGGCAAGGCGATTGGGCGCCGCAACTACGAGGTTGCGAGTTCGAGACGCGTGTGCTCCTTGTGTTTAATCATTTAGTTTCAATAGTGTAATCATCAGTGAGCAGCGTCGTGTTACTTGAATTCAGAAAACCTAGCTATTCAATTTACAAACATTGACACTTGTATTAACGTTCCCCTGGTAATATTCATTCTAAACTCATCTAATACAAGTCAAACGATGCTGTGGAACAATCTTTCAAATTTAACTTACATGTACTGTAGTGAACGATGTATGGCATGTACAATAGACTAGATTCGAGCAGAAATAATCGTGATTGAAGTCATTAAAAATTCAATGGCTTCATACTATTACTCCCACTCAGTGTTTTCTGGACAATGGGCATTGACGGTCAATATTATTAATAGAACTATAAATTCTTTATGGGTTTTTGATTATTTAAGCACATTTGGATTAATATACCAATTTCACGCAATATAGTGAAATCTTGGGCTGGGGGCGAAGGCCAAATCAAAGAGTCAAGATTTCACTATATTGCCCACTAAAATGAGGTTTTTATTTGTGTTATTTCCAACGGTTCAGTCAAGTTGACAACGTATAGTCGAGTTGACAACATACACTTCTGATATTTTAAGATTATATCCAAAATGTAAATATTTGTTAAATCTTCAACCGACCTAAATTTTGGAGTTTAGAGAAACATATTCTTATAAACTAATCGACACTCAGATGGCAAGGGAAAAATGATCGATGGAAATGTGAATAGAACCAACATATCTCATCTGGGCAATTTTGTGGGTGGAATTATCAAGGAAAAACTCGAGCAATGATCAAGAATATGTTAACGTAATCCAACATTAAATGTCTTGCCAAGAGCATGCACATGGAATTAAACATTAAATTTTATTTTTATTTTTTATTTTTTTTCTGTTTAATAAGTCATGTTACAAATACATTTTCAATGTAACAATTACAAGATAGTGTCACATATTTTCCAAAATTGTGGGTAAAATACATTTTTTCTTATAGCTATTTCCTTCTTCAAAGAGTGTAATATAGTACCCCACACACAATTTTGTCGCCTACTTTGATGTATTGTAGAAAAATAACCAAAAAGAAATTCCTTATAAAATTTGGTATACTTAAAAGTGAAACATTTTGTGACACTCAAATTATTTTACTTGGAAATTTAAGTAATCTTGACGAAAAACGAGCAATTTTAAAATATTCATGTTTTAACAAAATTCGACGAAAATTTCCAATTTCGCGTTTTAAAGAGACTTTAAATCATTTTGATTACAAACTTATTGCATTACATATGGTTTGTCTATTCTCTTAAGATATTGTTTCTATGTGTTGGAGATGTTTAACTCCTAAACAGGAATATTGTAAGTGTGGTTTTATTATTGTTTAAGAGTGAAGACCCCTTTTAATACTTTCAATACATGGACAGGTGCATGTATCATATACTTTGTTGGCTTTAAGTCTAAAAAACACATCCCTGCTTGGATTTCTATCCCATCCTACCACTACAGCATTTCCTACTGTCTCACTCGATTAAAAAATCCTTTCCAGTAGCTCGCATCTCATAAATCTCAAGAAAATGGTTGTTTTTTGTTTAAGTCAATTAAGGCATTATTAACAGTGACCTTGCACTCAATTTTTCGTTGGCCTACGATCGGGAGGCGATATTCGCCCAATACCTCACAGGTGGCCACCGACGGCTTACCTTTTGTTGGAAATGATTCACATTGATTAAACATGTGAACCTCTCAGGGGTAAAATCATAACATTGTAACATTATAACAGTCACTCCTGCTTGGTTCAGTTTTTCTTTTACCAGTGGATTATAATGGTGTTTAATAGGATAGGATTGACCAGAATATTCAATTTTTTGGTAATCAATTTGTTACAAATTGTTTCAAAATTTAGCTTAATTTAGGTCAAATCTGTAAATGCGTAGCAATTTAGAAACCGAAGTCAAATTGTGGTGAAGTCATATTACCCCAAACAAAAACATTGAGTGTCACAAATTGTTTCAATTTAATGTATGCCAAAAGAGAAAACTCTTATTGGATATTTTTCTACAACACATCAAAGTAGGCGACAAAATTGTGTGTGGGGTACTAACATCTAAAGGACGATTCTCGGTTTGGAGAACGAAGTTCATCAATCTAAATGAGCATTATCCCTGCTTCGGACAAATTTGATTTTTTTACATAACATAGATTTGAGTGACTTCTTTTGAATAGTCATAATTTAATTTGGGTAATATTTCTAGATTTTTCGCAAAAAAAATATTAGCGCAGCACACGGATGAACTTCTTTCCTCAAATCGAGACTTGTATTTTATTGAATCGGTCTAATTGAGCGTTATCCCTGCTTCAGACCAAGTTGTTATTTTTACATCTTGTAGATTTAAATGTCTTCTTTTGAATATTCATAATTTAATTTGGGTAATATTTCTATATTTTTCATGAAAAAAATTATTAGCCCAGGAGACTGTTCTCCAAACCGAGAATCGTCCTTTCTGACATTATTGTCATTTATCTGTCCTAGGTAAACCTTATAAATTGTATATGTAATTACACTGACAAAATAGTTAAGTTTAGTGAAATCATCAAAGCCATTATAACCTAAAATAATTTTTCTATAAGTTATTCTAAGTTTTGATTTATCTTGTATGAAGTTCCAGACACTCCTTGCCAAAACACAATCAAAAAATAAATGTTTTACTGAATCAGGATTTCCACAAATATCACAACTATAATTTTCTGTTTTACCAAATATAAAAAGCTCACGTTTACTGGGTAATATTCTGTTAATTTTTTATAGTTAAAGTTGGCAATTTTAGTTTCTTTACAATTTATTTTGGTGTCAAAAAAATTATCCCAATTAATTTCATCAATAAGTTCATCTTTTTTATAACAAAATTGCTTTTCCCATGTATCTTTCATATACCACTTTTCTGCCTTATTTGCTCTTTAAAATATCATAGAAAAATTTAGATTTCTGATGATTCACATCTATTGTTTTATTTTCAAACTTAAATTTAAACCTTTTAGGAATATTTGTATAATTTGAGCTTTGTATATCAATCATATTTTTTATAGATTTAATTGCGTTTTGTACCTGATAAAATTCAGAAATCCAATTTTGCTTATTGACAAGTTTCTGATGAATTAAATCAATATCAAGCAGGCATTATTAAGTCATTAATATATATTATTCCACTCTCTATTCAATGAGG